TACAGGACATGGTACCTTTCCCACCTGACCTACCTACAGGACATGGTACCTTTCCCACCTGACCTACCTACAGGACATGGTACCTTTCCCACCTGTTATTTTCTCTACTCTATTACCTGCTTTGCTCTCCACAGCACTGATCATAAGCTGACACGACATTACCTATGACACAGTCCTCTATCATGTATCATATACTACATCAAGTCCTTGTACACTCTGTAGCACAGCGCCATGGTGCTTGTTTCCAGATTAGAATGTAAACACAAACTGGCCTCAGGGCTTAAGACTGCCTATCAGAGCTGGGCGGTGGTGACAGCGCACACCTTTGATCCCAGCACTCAGGAGGCAGAGGCAGGTAGTAGATCTCTGTGAGTTCGAGGCCAGCCTGGTCAACAGAGTGAGCTCCAGGACAGCCAGGGCTGTTGTTACACAGAGAAACCCTGTCTCGGCATGGGGGGGGGGGCGCGTGGGGACACACAACACTGCCTGTCATGCTGTTGGTACTCAGTAAATATTTGTTGAAAGGGTCCATGAGCAAAGGGCTTGGGATAGAGTTACTCTCAAAGGGTACACAGCAGTGCATGGGTGGGCTTGTGGGGCCCTGGGGAACCCACGGACCACACTGGAGGCAGGAGGACAGGACAGGATGGGTTTTGGGTTGGCTGTTGAGCTGGTTACCTTGGATGCCAAGGTAAAGATCGTACTTAGAATCCTAGAGCCAGGAAACATGAACGTCATGAACCAGTTCCTGCATATGATAGGCAAACTGAAGCAAGAGGGAGGGAGGCTTGTAAAGACAGCTCAGGGGCTGTGAGGTCACGGCAACAATGGGGTGCCTTTTAAAACATTCTCTGTCCCTCTCTCCCAGGCACCCACTAGAGTGCCCCCCATTCCCCAGAGGAGTCCCTCCCTTCTGGATGAGCCTTCTGCAGGCCCCAGTGATATCATTTACGCGGACCTGAAGAAGGCGAACCGCGCACAGAAAGGCCTGGGCACAGAGGTGTCCGGCAGACACAGGCCAGCTCCAGCTGGCAGCCTGGCTTGTTCCCCAGGCAGAAAGCCCTCAAGGAATCTCTCAGATGAAGACCAGAACAATCCCAAAAGCCCGGAGCCTGCCCCGTCTGGGGTGAAGACAGACCAGTGTGCTGCAATGCCTTACAGTTCCTTAGGATTGCCCCTGCTCCCCAATTCTGAGGCCCTGGGACCACGGGCTACTACTTGGAAGCAGGGGTTTCGAAAGCCGAGCCACGACGAGGCTCAGTCCTCCTCTGAGGCCAGCTCTACGGATACCTACCAGCTTGTTGGGACAGCAGGCCTACGCCAGGAGAGTAGGGATAGACCAGACCACGGCCCTTATGAGCAGATTCCAACCTGCTGGCAAAGCGCTACTAAGTTCCCATACCCTGGAACCAGTCCCACCTACAGCCAACTATCAGGGCCCATGAACTGTGGCTATGAGAAGATCCCAGGGACCTCTCAGCTCCCAGAGCCAGGGAACACCTATGAGCAAATCCCAGCCTCCAAGAACAAGGACACAGGACGGGCGCACAAGGTGAGTTCCCTGAGAAGGTGGGTGGTCAGGTCCTTACAAAACACCTGGTGAGCCAGACATGGAGGCACACGTCTTTAATTCCAGCACTAGAGTAGCAGAAGCAGGAGGGGTTTGGTGAGTTTGAGGCCAGCCTGGCTTACATAGTGAACTCTAGGACAGGCGGGACTACGTAGAGAGAACCTGTGTGGGGTCAAGCATGAGCAGGTCACTGCTGGTGCTCAGAAGGGCCCAGAACTTTTCCACCTGGTCATATAAGGGTGGGAGAAGCAGCTGCTAGATCATGGGGTAAAATGAGGGCTTCTAGCCCACCTAAGAGCTTCCTCTATGACAGAGCACTCCACGGCAGGGCTGTCAGAACCACTGGGAGGCAGAAAGGAGGCCCTTGGCAGTAGTCATGAATAAGCAGCTCTCTAGCCTGTGGCTTTGGCCATGGCAATTTCCCCGATGATTAGGGCTGCCAAATTCACCAAGATAAAAATACAAGGCATCTAGTTAAATTTGAATTGAACATAAACCAGTAGTTTTGATATGTCTCAAAAAATCATAACCGTTTATGTACCTGGAACTCAGATTTAACTGGGCAGCCTGTATTTTTAGGCGGCCACCCTACTCAAGCTCTCTCTTCCTTGTCTGTAAAATGAGCTGACCATCTGGTTATGCCCAGGGCAGCTGCCCAAGGAACAATATCCCACATTCTTTCCTGACAAGACACTGTCAGAGGTGGCTCTTAGTGGGCAGGGCGACTATTTCTGAGGATTCATGATAGAGAGAAGGAGAGCATGTGGGACGGGTGGTTAGAACACCAGAGGGAGGTGGCTGCTCCTGGGTGCCAGGGAGGCAGATGAGCCCGCCCACGCCCTCCCCAATCCCTCAGCTGCCTATACTTGTGGACAATAGGAATGGAAAGGTCCTTCTTTCCTGTGGACACAGCCTCAAGTCCGGGGAAAGCTGAACCGTCCCTCTCCTGGCCTGAACTAGGACATCCTGAGCTTCAAATCGAAAGGCCTCTAGGGAACCAGCTCCTCCCTCAGGGCAGGGCTGTGACCTCCCGCCCTAGCTCTTATCCCCAACATTTTCTGAGGTGCTGATCCCCTCAGAGTTAGTCAGTAGACTGTCCTTTAAGGACCTCAGAAGCCATGTCTGCCCCTCCCATGTCCTCTTCTAACCCTGGCAGTCCTGTATATAACCCCTCCCCTCCTCCACCCTGCCCCACCAGGGCATAGCAAGGCCCCAGCTGGGCAGGATGGAGCAGGAAGACCAGGACATACCCGGGAGGGGAGACCATGCCCTGCAGTAATTTCCACCCCTTTTCACAGGCCTCCTTCCCACCACCCTTCCTCAGCCAGACAAAGGCAAAGCCTCATCTTAAATGTGAAGGCTGAAAGTGAGGTTTGGAGCCCCAGAGAGGCTTGTGGGAGCCATACCATACCTGGCATCATTTTTCCAGCTTGGGCCTCACCCCAGACCTGAGCAAAGAGCTTCTAAGCCTGGGTCTTCCCCTCTCTGCTGGGGAGCCCAGGCTCCAACATCTTTCCCTTCCTTCCAGCCTGACAAGTTCCGGAGGCTCTTCTTCACAGACAAGAAACACAAATTCTGAGGGAGGCCTGGCATCCAGAGGGTTTCCTGGCATCCAGGCCACACCAGGGATCACTAGATACCCTCAGCTCACCTGCAGGTGTGACGCAACCAGCCACTGTGGACCCAGGCTCTGGGGTGCAGCCTAGGCACCTGCCTGGGAGGCAGGGAGAGACCTTGCCATAGCCTGTGACTCCTGGATGTGTCCTCGACGCTGTCCATCCACAGAGTGAAGGAACTAAGGCCAGCGGGAGCGGGGACTAACTAAAGGAAGGGTTGGGTGAACATGTAGAGGCCAGGCTGATGAACACACAGAGCCCACCTCCTACCTCAGATACTTAGCAAGCATGTGGCAGGCCCCTTACCCAGGCACACTGCCTTCTTCCAGCTGCCTAAATGACATCATGCTATTACTCCTGAGAACAAAACCAGTTCCCTTCCTCGTGGTCCTGCCAGGCGATAGGGAAAAGGCCAGGAGCCACATCCTCTGTACCTGCCCCAGGAGGATTGGAGTAAGAAGCTGGGTCCAGCCAAGGTCCAGCTCAAAAGCCATGGCTTTACCCAGCAGTGGGCTGGGCCCCTGGGAACTGCCCCCCCCCCACGTCTTCCTGGCCAACTCCTCCATCTTTATCCTAGCTTGTGCTGCAGATGAAGAAACCGAGACCCAGAAACTTATTTGAGGACGTAGCTGGTGGGGGTCTGAACAGAGACCCCTCAATAAGGCAGGCCTAAACTGGGGATGCACTGCTGGGCAACATCTGGAGCCAGTCAGGGGACACTTGATGCCATGCCTATGTGAGCAGGTCACCCCTGCCTGCCCTCTGCCTCCAGCCAGCCCTGAACTTTGGATCAACCTAGATTCCTCCATGGAACCCACCATCAGCCTGGCGGTTTGGCCTCCGGAGAGCTCCTGGGGCTTTTCCCAGTCACCAGCTTTGGAATGGGACACTCAGGCCTCTTGCCCCAGCTGTTCCCTTGGCCAAGCTGGCTCTTCCTTGTCCATGTGTCCCCACCTCCACAGGGTGGGCCACTGGCCTGCTTTCTTCTCTCCACCCCTCCTCCACTCGCAGGAGTCAGGAACCAAGACCACTGTCCCCTCTCCGCCTGCCTCCATGCAGGCCCCGGGCAGAACTGGCTCAGTACACGTTTGTGAGGAAAGTCATTTCTTAGTAGACCCTGGGCTAATGCTCTTTTCCCTCTCTAGAAAGGAGAACTTCTAGAAGTCCCTATCTGTTGGGGGGGGGGGCGGGTGGTAGCGGTGAAAGGTTTAAGAGAAGTGGGATAGCCTGGAGCTTGAAAGGTTGAAGAGACGTGGGATAGCCTGGAGCAAACAGTGGTGAGCACTCTGTTAGGCAGCTGTAACTGCTGCTAGGAAAATGGAAGCAATCCTCACCCAACAGCCTGAAGCCAAAGTTGGTACCTGACACAGAAGACGGCCTCCCGGACTGCCTGAAAGGTACCCCTGAGCATCCCTAATGCTGACAGACACAGAAAGTGCAGGACACAAAAGTGTTTTATTCCTAGGAATTCACAAGTCTGAGGTCAGCACACACCAGCAACACCATGTCATTGGGGAGGGAGCGGGGGCAGAGCCCTTTGGACCCACTGCTCACACAGCTTCACACTGGGGAAGGAGAGGGCAGGGCAGGCGTGGGGGAGGGTGCAGCCCAGTCTTGGCTTTAGTAAAAGATTGCATAGCTTGTTAAAACCCCAGTCTCTGCTTCTTTTGTTCGTTGTTTCCCTTTGCTGGGTTTTTGCCCTTAGCCCTGGGTACGGGGTGTCTGCCCGGCATATGGATAACCCAGCCCCACCCCTCCTGTTGGGTCTCCCACCTTCCCCTCCTAGGGGACATTGCTGGGTGAGAAAAGGACTGGGCGAGGGGGTGGTTGAGAGGGCCCCCAGGGGGACCGTTGGTCTTGTGGCTGAACCACTGGGGGCCCCCCGGGAAGGGTCCTGCTCTTCACAACCTCATTGCTCTTAAGTTTTTTATTTGTTTTTTTGCTGAAAGGGCCACAGGAAATGTCCATGGGTGAGAACCCCAGAGGCTACAGCTCCTTTCCTGAAGTGCTTGGAAACCATACCTGCACAGACAGCAGGCCAGAAGGTGGGCTTCCAGGCCCCTGCAGCCTTGGCATGTCCTCAGATTCGGATGTGGAAAGTGCTGGGAAGAGAACGGAGAGAGGGTGTGAGGCTGGGTTGGGCGGAGGGCTCCACAGGGAAGAGCTAACCTCACCCTGGTCACTCACTTCCTTAGAGAAGCTCATAGAAGTAATTACAGGAGGCTCGGAAGGCAGGTGTCCAGTTTCCACCCCCAGATCCTTCCCATGCACCACGCAAGGCCTTGGTGCCTCTCGCGATATGAATAGTCATGTAAGGGCCAGTCATGCATCTCGGGAGAGGGGCTCCCACCTGCGGCTTCCGGCCTGCATATGTCACTCCCATGAGACCAGGCAGCCAGCTGTGACCCTAATGTTCTGGCCTATCCAACCCAAGCCCAGGCCCTGGGGTACCAGCACCTGAGAAAATCAGGGGCCTTGGCGATCATGTCCTCAAAGTCAGCGAAGCCCAGCTTGCCGTCACCATCCAGGTCAGCTTCCTCAATGACCTTGTCGCATACAAGCACTACCTCATCCTCATCCAGCTCTGACTTAGTGAGTCGGGCCAGCGTCAGCTCCAAGTCTTCTTTACAGATGAAATTGTCAGTGTTGAAGTCTGTGTGGTTAGGTGGGGTGAACAGAGATGGTCAAGATAGGGGCTTCGAGAAGGGAGGCGTCCTGTCCAGTACTGCCCCTTCCTCCCAGCTGACCACACTGATTTCTCCACCAGCCTCCGGAGTCCCCAGAGTATCTCAGACAAGAGGGGTCCCTGAGCCGGGCGGTGGTGGCGCACGCCTTTAATCCCAGCACTCGGGAGGCTGAGGCAGGCGGATCTCTGTGAGTTCGAGGCCAGCCTGGTCTCCAAAGTGAGTTCCAGGAAAGGCGCAAAGCTACACAGAGAAACCCTGTCT